CGTTTGTCTGTCAGTGAACACTTAGGCTGCTTCCATATCTTGGCCATTGTAAATAATGCTGCAGTGAACATAGGGCAGCATACATCTTTTCAAGTTGGTGTTTTGAGTTTTTTCAGATAAATACCCAGAAGTAGAATTGCTGGGCCCTCTGGTAGTTCTATATTTTTTAAAATTTTTTAGGACCCTCCATACTGGCTGCACCAATCTGCATTTCCACTAACAGTGCATGAGGGTTCCTTCCAATACTTGCTTGTTGATGTGTTGATGATATATTGGTGTGAGGTCATGTTTCATTGTGGTTTCAGTTTGGATATCCATGAAATGAGTGATGTTCAGCATCTTTTCATATGTCTATTTTCCATATGCATGCCCACTTTGGAGAAATGTCTTTTCAGGTACTGTGCCCATTTTTTAATTGGATTGGGGTGTGTGTGTGTGTGTGTGTGTGTGTGTGTGTGTTGTATGAGCTCCTTATACATTATGGATATTAATTGTTTATAGGTGTTTGTGTGTGTGTGTGTGTTGTATGAGCTCCTTATACATTGTGGATATTGTTTATAGGTTTTATCATTGGCAAATATCTTTTTCCATTTACTAGGTTGTCTTCTTTTGATGGTTTGCTTTGCTGTGCAAAAACTTGTTAGTTTCCTGTAGTCTCACTTTGTTGTTGTTGTTGGTTTTTTACCTCACCAGAGAAGACCTATTTAAAAAAATAACACCAAGAGTGATGTCAAAGGATTTAACTTTGTTTTCTCATTCTGGGAGGTTTATGGTTTGGGGTCTTACAGAGAAGTCTTTAATCCATTTTCAGTTTATTCTTATATATAGTGTAAGAAAGTGACCCATGATGATTCTTTTGCATGTATCTGTCCAGTTTTCCTAGTGTCATTTATTGAAAAGACTGTCTTTACCCCACTGTGTGTTCTTGCCTCCTTTGGCACCACTAATTGACCATGTAGGTGTGGGTTTACTTCTGGGCTCCCAGTTCTGTTGATCTGTGTGCCTGCTCTATGCCAGCACTGTTTGTATTACTGTGGCCTTGTAGTATAGCATGATATAAGGTAGCATAATACCTCCAGTTTTCTTTTTCTTTCTCAAGATTGCTTTGGCTATTTGGGGTCTTTTTTGTTCCCGTATAAATTTTAGGATTATTCTAGTTCTGTGAAAATGCCATTGGCATTTTCATAAGAATTGCATTAAATCTATAATTTGCTTTGGGTAGTATATGGACATTTTAATGACGTTAATTCTTTCCATCCATGAGCACAGTATATGCTTCCATTTATTTGTTTCTTCTTCAGTTTCTTTCTTCAGTGTCTTAATCTTTCAAGTACAGCTCTTTTACCCCCTTGGTTAAATTTATTCCTAGTATTTTATTGTATTTTGATGCAGTTGTTTTGATTGTTTTCTTAATTTCTTTTTGATAGCTGCTTATTAGAGTATAAAAATGCAACCAATTTCTGAGTATTCATTTGTATCCTCCTCCTTTATTTTATTTACTATTTCTAATCGGGGGGTTTTTTCAGTGGATTTGTTAGGGCTCTCTATATAGAGTGTGGCATATCATCTGCAAATAATGACAGTTTTACTTCATCCTTTCCAATCTGGATGATTTTATTTCTTTTCCTTGTCTGATTATTGTGGTTAGGACTTCCTATGTTGAATAAGAAAGGTGAAAGTGGACACCCTTGTCTTGTTTCTGATTATAAAGAAAAAACTCTCAGCTTTTCACTGTTATGTATGATCTTAGTGAAACTGGAAGAGCTGGCGTGTGCGCTTCCTGTCACCACCAGACCCAATGAGCAGAGACAGGGGTTGAATCTGTGTGGGCGCTTCATTCAGAGGGCGGGCGATGTGAGAGGGCAGCAGGTTCATACCCTAACAGACTGTCTGACATTCCACTTCAAACCGACCCTTTATATAAGGAGAAGAAAAGTGCAGGCAAGGGGTTTGGAATTCAGGGAAAAGGTAATCAGATAAAAGGCACAACGTTCTTCCCTCTGTCCACCAGGGTTCTTCATCTGTGTCCTGGGCGGTGGGCGCCCCACCCTGGAGCCCGGTGGCTCGCATTCCGCCCTGATGCCCTGCAGTCCTCCCCCGGCACCGAGGTGGAACTGCTCCTGGTCTCCTGGAGCCTGGGCGGGTCAGACCCTCAGTTCCTGGAACAGTTCCTTTCTGCAGGCACTGACTACTAAGCTTATTGACTGTCACCTAACGCTAAAATTTTCTGACTCCTGAGTGCCCCACCCCCATCATTAGCTGTGGATTTATTATATATGGCCTTTATTATTGCGAGGTATTGTCCCTCTATTCCGACTTTGATGAGAGTTTTTAATCAAAAATGGACATTAGACTATGACAAATGCTTTTTTGCATCTATTGATGTGATCATATGATTTTTATTCTTAATTTTGTTTATGTGGTGTATCACATTAATTGATTTGTGGATGTTGTACCAACCTTGTATAAATTCCACTTGATACTGGTGTATGATTTTTTTAAATATATACTGCTGAATTGGGTTAGCAAATACATTGCTGGAGATTTTCATATTTATGTTCATCAGGGATATTGTCCTATAATTTTTTTTTCTAGTGTTTTTGCCTGATTTTGATATGAGGGAAATGCTGGACTTGTAAAATGAGTTTTGGAGTCTTCCCTACTCTTCAGTTTTTTGACATTTTTTTAAAAAAGATAGGTAGTAATTGCTCTTTGAATGTTGGTAAAATTCACCTGTGAAGTCAACTCTCTGGTCCAGGGCTTTTGCTTATTGGCAGTTCCTGATTATTGGTTCAATTTTATTAGTAATTACTGGTCTGTCCAGACTTTCTGTTTCTTCCTGATTCAGCTTTGGAAGATCGTATGTTTCTAGGAATTGACCCATTTCTCCCAGGTTGTCCCATTCGTTGGCATTTAATTGTTTGTAGTTTTTTTCTGATAATGCTTTGTATTTTTGTGGAATCAGTTGTCTTTCTCCTTTTTCAGTTCTGACTGTGTTTGGGGGCGAGCTCTCCTTTTTCTTTATTAGTTGGCTAAAGTTTTATCTATTTTGTTTTTTCCCCTTTGTTTTATTGATCTTTTCTTTGTTTTTTGGACTCAGTTTTGCTTATTTCTGATGTAGGGGGAGGGTCTGACCCTTTGGAGTGAGAGTTGCACAGGCCAGGCCCTGGTGTGGGCCGAGCCCTCCCTGTGGGTGTGTGTTGTGGAGCTGGTTGTGTGTTGGCTCTGCAGACTCCTGGGAGGGGCTCTGGTGCAGACGCAGGGTCAGCCGGTTTTTGAGCCTGGCTTGGAGTTAGTTGCCTGGTGGAATCCACAGAGTTGAGTTCAGCTTGTGCTGGGTGTATGGGCCCGTAGTTGAGGCCATGTTCCAGGCCAGCAGTGACCATGGCATATTCCAGGCTTGCGGCTACCTGATGGGGATTACACTGCAAGCTGAGACCAGTCACTGCTGGTGCGGGACTTGGGGTGGCTGAGCCAGAGGCAGGGCGCTCTGAGCCAGCCGCTGCGTGTGGGCCTTTGAGAAGCTTTAGGAAATTTGGCAGTGGGTGCCGAGGGGGCCTGCTCATTGGGAGCCACCCACAGGGGCTCAGCCGGCAGGAGTAGGGGGGTCTCAGGCAGTCGCAGGTGGGAAGGGCTAAAGGAGGGAGCAGTGGGGCCTACAGGCACTTTGGTCTCGGAAGGAGCTATCCCAGCCCATTCGCCTCCAGCCCTGACCTCAAGCTATCAGTTCAGTTCCTCCGTGGGGGGCCCTGGAGCCCAAAGCCAGGGATCAAGCCTGTGCTTGGGCCCTTGAAAATCTGTGCCGCTGGGTCCCCGGCAGCCCTCCGTCCCACCCAGACACAGTCCCCGCTGGTGTCCACAGCAGACAGCGGGGGGCTCCACTCCAGGCACTGGAGCCCCGGGCTGTGGAGCCCCATGTCAGCCTGGGACAACCCAAGGGGAGTTCTGCAGCCAAAACATCCCTCTGAGTTTTTAAGGTGGGACTTGCCTGTTCAGTGTCTGCCCTTAGTTGTAGGATTCCCGCTTGGCCAGTCTTCGGGTGGTTCTCAGTGAGGGCTGTTCTGTAATTTAGTTGTGACTTTCATGTGTTTGCGCATAGGGTTTAAATTTTCCAGCTTACTCACTGGAAGCCGTAATCAGTTATTTAAAATTTACATCAGTAAGCAAACCATGATTTTAAAGCTTCCTTATAATCGTTCTTACAAAGAATGATATGATTGCCTCTAATGTGATTTTTGAATAAAGTGTTTAACCGTTACTAAATGGTGACTTAAAGTCTGAATTACTTTATTATTTTATGTCATCTCTACTACTATAATTTGATAAATATGTCTAATCTGGGGCATCAGAATTGTATGCATTCATCAGTTGAGCATTTGATAGTGCATAGAATTATAGAAAAAGAGAGACAAGTGTCTGCAAAGTCATACAACTTTTCGACTTATCTTTGAAAGTAGATTTGATGTATCATTTTCGTCTTTAGCAGGCTTCACTGAAGGGAGATACATCAAAATGCTCATTAAAGTTGTGAATTGATTTTCATTGTTTGCAAAAAGGATCAGGCCTTCCTCTGAACAGAATGCCTTGTTGTAATCAGTTTCATACAGAAACCTCCGGTAAATAGGTGTTTTTTTAAATTTAGTCATTTTTTTAATCCTTTACTTTTAATATCCCTTTGCATTTTTTCCTGTGCTGGCCAGTTCATACCTGCTCATGAAATAAGAGTCTATGGACTATGGGTTCCTCTACCAGCAAACTCTATAGAAATGCCCCCAAAATTTTTATGAACCCTTTTGCACCGCACCTAACACCACCGCCCCATACATTTTGCAAATAAAAATAGCAGTTTTTATTGTAAAATAGTGGAGTAATAAAATAAGGCAGAAAGCTTTAAACAAACCTCAGTTTACAAGTCAGTCTGAATAGAGTTGCGTGAATACAGAAAGCAGCCCCGGAGCACGAGTGGGCTGTGAGGCACGCGCTTGCTTGTTTCCCTGCAGGACCTCACTACTCTAACCGGCGTTCCGGAGGAGCACGTCAAGACTCGGAAGGTGCGGATCTTCGTGCCCACGCGCAATAACATGCAGTCCGGCGTGAACAACACCAAGAAGTGGCGGATGGAGTTCGACACCAGGGAGCGCTGGGAAAACCCCCTGATGGGCTGGGCATCCACGTGAGTGCTGTGCTTTCATTGCGTGTCATCTTCCGCTCACTCTCCATTTAGGTTTTCCTTTTAGACACCCCGAATCCAAAACCGCTCCGTGCGCAGCACGCTGTAGTCCAGCCTGCTCTGCTTTGGCGTCGCTGTTCTAAGACACAGACGCGTCCTCACACGTAGTAGACACGCAGGGAACCGTTGAAAGGGTGGCCCCACGGAGCGCTCTGGATGTGGTGGTTTCCCAGGGTTGCGTCTCAGGGGAGGTGACCGAAATCGGGGGCACCGTGAGCGCGCCCAGCCGCGCGCTAGTGCCTGGTGAGGAGCACTCTCACTCAGTTTTCAATTAAAATAAAACTTCTTTATAAAGCACTTTTTTGTTTGTAAGGGGAGGCGACTAGAGGAGATGAAATATCAGGTATTTTGCGCGAAACATCTAAGTTCCTGAGACTGCTGATGAATAAACATGCAGCGCACTGGAATAAAGTGGCCACAGTGTCCACTGTGGGACGTGGCCCGGGTGGTAAGCAGCAGGACCTCATCGCCAGGTGAATGGCAGAAGCTGTGGCTGCAGAAGACGGGCAGATGAGCTGGGAACCTGCCATTCGCACAGAGGCTCCTGGAACGTTTTGTGCGCCCAGTCCTCAGCTGAAGACAGTTGCCAGCTTAAGTTGTCTCACTTTAGAATAAAGTGTGATGCTTAACATTTTTTCCTGTTGAAAAACATTTTGTTCCTGTTGATTCATTCACTGCACTATTTATCGATGGCATTTGGTTAGTTTTCAGTTGGGGTTCTTATGCATAATTCTTAAATAAAGATTTTTGTGCATATCGTTTGGTGAACATATGACTTGTTAATATGCCAGTTACATATTATCAGTTATTCAAAACTTTTATATTAAGTAGCAATAAGCTATTAATTCTCTATTCCTTATGCTTATCTAGTTAATAGCAGTGTCAATATGATGGGTTTTGTTCTAGCAGATGGTTAAACTACTGACAGAAATTGTGGAGGATGTATTTTACTCTTTGTTAGGGGCGTCTGTTTCAGTCTTACCCCTGGTCTTAGTCCTGGGACTTACTGTTAAAAATAAACAGGCACAGCCTCTCCGAGGCCCTGATGGGAAGCACAGGTGCTGACCAGGTCGTCCTCCCGGCTCCGTGGGAACCCACGCTCAGCCTCCCCTGCCGCGGGCAGACAGCTGCGGGGGCCTCCGCCTGCTCGCTCAGCCTCTCAGCCCTGCCTGCTGAGCCTTGCTTGTCCCCGTGCGCCTCCGCAGCCCCTGCTCCACGCCCCCGCTCTGGACTGCCCTGGCCGCTGAACTGCCGGCCGCCCTGGCCGCCATCCTCAGGCCTGGGGAGGCGCAGTGCTCCGCTTGGGTTCCTGGGGCTCCTGGCCATCTGGGCTAGAGAGTGCCTTCCGGGGAAAAGTGCATGAGTCTTGAACTACTCCAGTGTGGTTTCTTTTTCCAGCGGTTGAATCCTGTCCTTTTTTTCCCCCCTGCTTTTGGTCACTCTCTGATTCCTTCAGTTATTTTGTTCAGAGTTTATAATTGTTAGCAAGTAAATCTGAATTTAATGGCAGGTAAATCTGCCATTACCCCAGTTGGAATTTCAGTAAATGAGAGCTGAGCAAATAAAATCTAAAAAACATAGGCACAAATTATGGTATATCTAGTAAAGACTGCAAAGACAGATTATATACAGCTGGAGGGTAGGGCACGAAAGACTTGTTTGAAAAGACTGGCGCTCACTGCGAACCGTGAGAAACAGTCGTCATGGCCTTGGCCAGGCCGAGGTGGTGGTCTCCCACTGTACGCCAAGGGCAGTTAAGCTTGTAGGAGCTGTGGGTGCTTAAAGTTTTCCTTCCACTTAGTTTCTCCTAGCTCGGCTAATAATGAAATTAACAGACTCATAGAAAATCAAATTTCAATATGTGCACATGGGGAATTCACATAAACATGAAAGTTCCAAAGACAAAATTGGGTGTATGTGTCATTTTGGACAAAGGAGAGAAGAGGGGAACAGGGCCTTAGATTTCAGAAGTGAAAATGGACAATTTACAGGTAACTGGGGAGAGTGAAACAAACGTGGCAGGCAGATTTCCGCCAGGTAACCCAGAAACAGCAGGCTGTCCGGGATCCAACCCCGGGCAGCCAACGCCCAGCCGAACGCGGCTGCTGCGATGACCAGGGCTTCCTCCCTGGGGCAGGCCCCCCTCTGACTCCCGGGGCAGGAAAGGCAGGGCCCAGAGCTCCTTCTTGAGCCTTTTGTTTCACAGTCACCAGCTTAAAATCAGTACCCCAAAGGTGCAGTTTATGGGGTGGCAAAACTTCTCGGTCCCTTTCAGAACATACAGCTACATTTAGAGGAAAGTCAGCAAGCTGATATTCAAACAGCACTTTTAAAGAGTTTATTTGAAATAAGAGCCTTCATCAATAGTGTTCTTATTTGCTATTTTAGCAGCTGTTTATTTTCTAAACATTTTACTTTATTTTAAATATTGATTTTTTTTTTTCAGTTAAAACTTAATGTTAAATCCTGGAAAACAATTGTTTCTTACAGGGCTGACCCCTTGTCCAACATGGTTCTAACCTTCAGTACGAAAGAAGCCGCAGCTGCCTTTGCAGAAAAAAATGGTATGTTTCGTCTGTTTTCGTTTGGCTTTAATAAGTAAAATGAAGATACGATTTTATGTGCTTAACATTAATCAAAACCAGTCAGGGATATAGAATTTGAGTTGAAAGAAATTTTTCAGTGTATCTAATTCAGTAGTTTTAAGAATTTTACAGCATCAGAACACCCCCTTCTAGGAAAAAAAATCTAAAGTAGAGTGCCCACGCAGCGTGGAAAAGCCCAGCTGCTCTGATCTGGAGTAGAGGCAGGGAATGAAACTGCTAGCTGAACTCCTGCTCTCTTAATGAATCCCTCTGCAAAGTCTCTAACATTTGGTTTTCAACCCTAATTGAACCTTTCAATTTTGACACCTCTTTATTATTTTCTTACTGTGAGCCAAAACCCCACGTCTGTATTCCACCTAATAGCTCTTCAGTTGTTTCAAAATAGTTGTCCACGGTGTCCCTGCGTGCTCATCTCTGATCGCACCTACTCAGTCGTGCGCTTTCGCACCTCAGCGTGGTCTGGGGGCGCGGTGCCCGTAGGGCCGGCAGCGCTGCAGGCCCCCACCCTCGCGCCCAGAGCCACGTCCAGTCCCGCGGGCCCGCCCCAGGCTGCGCGCCCTGTGTCTTTTACACCCCCTTTCTCCTGCGCCTTTCGTGTGTGTAGATACACAAGTCTGCATTCCAGTTGCCGGCAGCATGCAGTGCTGTAGTGGGCCGCACGGGGCTGCGGCCCGGGAGCAGTGGGCTGTGCCACGCGGCCCGGCGGGTCTCGGCGCTGGCCCTGGGTGTGTGCGAGCGCCTCCCGACGCTCCCGCAGGGGGAATCCCGCAGCGGCGCGTGTCTCGGGGAGCATCCCCATTCTTAAGTGGCGCGGGTCCGTGTTGGTTTATGTTGGTCTTGCTCTCAAGAAAACGCAAAATGTTTTTCTCATTTTCTATTATTAAGCTTTGCAATACAGTAATGGAAAGAGGCTTTGGAGTTAGACCATCTGAATTCTGATCCTAGTTTTGCCACTTTGAAGCTCTACATGATTTTGAATTAATTTTATAATGAATGTAATGTTTTTTCATTGTTGAAAAAACGGTCTTAATAGACACTTGGTAACTATTTCTGCCATTTGTCTCGCTAGGGTTTAAATGCACTGCTGTGCATTTGTGCCTAATGCGTCCTGTTATTCTGTTAGCTGCTCACATAGAATTCGAATCTAATTTAGTTAGCGGTTTGAATGAGGTAACGTCTGTGTATTCTGTTGCTATAAGGCAGGATACAAATGTGAAAGATTGTTAGTACTGTCTAACATCTCTGATGTATCAGTGGGGAAGCACTGTACAGGTCACTGGCATTTTCACCCCAGGCGGCCCTGTGCAGCCTGTGGCCAAGGGTCTGAGGCTGCACCGCCTGGGTAGGGGCCCGCGCAAGCCTCGCTGCTGCCAGGGCCTGTACCGCTCTCCCCGGTGCGCGGCGGGCGCTGTCGGGAGGGCTGAGTGGGGCGCTCAGAGGGAAGTGCTTAGGACACAGTGAAGTAGCTGGGTAATCGCACGTAACTTTATCCTATTAGTAGCAGACTTCTGAAAACTGCTAAAAATTTACATAAGTGTAATTCCTTATTGACACTGTCTTGGCAGTTTTCACATTTCTTGTTCTCAAAGTGCTCATAGTCTTTAAAATATTATTTTGATTTAAAATTAACATCACTCTCTTTAAACTGTTGTTGGGGAGGAAAATTTTTTTGTCTACCTTTCTAGGCTCTAATAATAAAATTACCTAAGAAAGATTACCAGGAGAGAAGCAGATTTAAACATACGTACCCAGGGCCCCCACAGGAACATGAGACCCGGGGACAGGCCATGCGGTTGAGGTCTCTGTGCCTCCCTGAGCAGGGATAGGGTGAGCCCGGGGCTCCCAGCGGGAGCAGGGCAACTCACAGGACGTGGTGAGCAGGGGTGTTCTGCCCTCCAGGTGGGCTGGGCATACAGAGGTCATTCCTGCTGACAGCTGTCTCTCAGGGCTAGGCCACCTCGCCGAAGGCTTCGAGGTGGCGAAGGGGAGGTAAAAGGTGTCCTCTGCCTGCTGCAGCTTGGTTGCGTCAGCTCGAAATGATCCATCCACAGGCCAAGGTGGCATATTTTGGGGTCACATATTTTACTCCCCTTTACTGTATTATAACTTACCAAAAACAGTTCTATTAATGTTTTCCATATTTGTAGCCTACCATATGTTATGTCTGACACCTTAAAGAGTGTTCCTTTGAGGTCTGTAATGTGAGTTTAATAACAGGAACTCTAATTAAACTGTTGGATCTCTGGTTAGTGTCTTTCTACGTGGTCACAAGGGTGCATGACTACGGTTGTCAATGTGAATTGCAGGTGTGAAGTAGCCACTGCTGCTTTTGAGATCAGGCGCTTTTCTAGTCTTATTTTTATCTTCCCAGGAAAGAAAATTGAGGACCATTATTACACTCAGTAGACGGTGTAACTTGAACAAGCACCGTGGATGGTACTGTAAAAGACTCCAGGCTAACAGTGGGTCAGGGGTTTTAACATACAAGGCAGCAGGAGCTAAATCTGTCTTAGTCACTGCTTTGTACTTAGCACAAAACCTACATAATGGAGACTTCATGTCTGGTGAAATTACTGACTTTCTAAAGTGCATTTCTCCACTCAAGAGTCTGAGGCCACTCTTACCTCCTAGGAGAGTCCTCAGTGATTATCCCGCCCGCAATTCACTCTAGTACTTGTGCTCTTCCAGGTTTATTTAAAGTTTAGCGCACAGATCTTTCCGCAGACAAGGGCTGTTTCTCTACCTATTATGGCAGTAAGTCTAAACCACCAGTGGGTGGCACAGAGTCGCCGGGTGAAGGGTGTTTCTGACCTCGCCCAGTGCGCCCTCCGTTCTGGAGTAAGGGGACAGATCCGTGGGACGGTCCTCCCCACACACCTCACATCGTTTCCTTGTGCTAGTGCTGCCGCGTGGCTGGTGGACCTGTGTTCCGGTAAGTTAAGGCATGAGGAGGAAATGGTTCAGAGGCGTGAATATGTAAAGACTACGGGATGGAGGGGCCAGTAGCTGGGCTTCTCCTGCCACTACCGTCTGCTCGCAGGGGAGCTTGAGCAAGTTTTGATCCACTGCACTCGGCTTTCAGTGAGCACGCGCCCCACCTTGCAGTGGGGCAGGGACTAGGCGCCGCTCAGTGGCTGCAGACTTGGAGGTGGTCAGCCCGGGACTGGCGGCCTGTCTGTGTTTCTTTACTGCCAGGCCAGGTGCCTGAGTTCGTGGTCCGCTCCAGCAGGAAGAAGGTGAGTGGTTGTTGATGTAGATGGTTCTGTTTTGATAGTAAAATTTGGGAAAGGTTGTCCATTTATGAGCATTAAATATTTGCCTTTCAGGAGTGTCTAGACCTAGGGGACTAGGGTAAAGCTGCCACACACACAAAAGTTGTTTATTTGGGGACTGTTCTGAAAATGAAAACCTACCTTTTATTCCCTTCTTAGTTTTCTTGTTTCCCTTACTTTTCCCTTACTTTTAAATGGTTAAAAAAGAAGGGGTCAGAACCATCGTTTCCCTTGAGCAAAGACTGAGTGCCCTCCGCTGGCCCCCCTCCCCGCCTGCTCCTCGCCTCCCCCTCCCCCAGCACACAAAGAAAATGGAAGCGCCCCCGTGTCCCGTGGCCTGAACCCCAGGTCCTCAGCCTGCGGGTCTCCCTGTGACACTTCCCTGAGAAACTGTTCAAGGGCACTCTTTTTCTCTTGTTACAAAGAAAGGTTATCAGGGCTTCCTCTGAAGTGTAGATGAACCTCACTTCAGTTCTCTGAGTCCTGGGAAGGCCGCCATTCTCATCTGACGTGCCTGGCTCGTCTGCTTTCCCAGAGGGGTCCGGGGGTGGGCGGGAGGAGAAGGCGGCTGCCGGGAGGGGGCGGGGGTGTAGTTGTGGGCGCTGTCGGGGAGCCCGGAGACCTGCGCTGCCCCAAGGTAATGGCCCACAGGGCCGTGGGAGGGCAGGGGGACTGTCCTGGGTGTGCCGGTGTATGCCCCCCACCCCGGGGAGCAGTTTCTCCGCCCTGTAAGCTATAAAAACTCTCTGAAATTCTCAAAATAGAGCATTTCTTTCAAGAATAGGAGGGGCAGAGGACAGGCTGTGCAGCTGCACTCTGTTCCTGGAGGGCCTGTGGGGAGGGAAACCCACCTCTGCAGTAACGCAGGGGGAGGCGGCGGCCGGGCCCTGACCCAGGGAGACACACAGGCGGTCAGGGGTGTGGCCCGGCTCCGAAGCGCCTGCAGGAGACACCCGCAGCGCGGCCTGGGCCTGCAGCAGCCTCCACGTCCAACCGGGGGCTCCACCTCACAGCCGCACGCCTGAAACAGGGCGCCTGCCAAACAGGTTAAGAATCTTGACTCTCATGCAGATATGAAATGCATGTTAAAGAATTTATTTTACTCATGTTATAAAGGAACTAGGTAGATGGCATAACCACTCGAAAGTAAAAGTATAAACAGCAGAGATTCGTGTACGAAAAGGCAGGCCGGCCTGTAGGAAGCAGGAGGGCCCACCGGCAGAATTGGAGTTGAGAGGGCCTGCGCCGAAGTTGCTACCAGAGGGACCCCGGGCCTAATTTGCATATCTGTCGGTGGTACATGATTTAAAAAGTTACAAAAAGCTGAAAGATAAGGAATTGAGCTGAAATCTGAGAACCAGTAAGGGCACACCATAGATGATTACCGTTGTCCATTGAAATAAAGTTTGTGTCCTCCCCACTTTTTGATTAAAAAAAAAAATGTCAAAGATTTACAATCACAAAACAAGATGAAGCTACTATTTGGCTTGATGATTTACATAGGTGTAGCAAGACTATTAATTTGCCTCTGTATTTTGTCACCTCAAAATATGTCACGGCAAAGTAAGAATTATTTTAGGCTTTTAACTTTAAGAAACATCAGATATGGGAGAAGCTCTGAAAAATCAAGTAGAAGTGACCCCTTTTATAAAGACATTTACATTTGGAACTGCGGCGGGGGTGGGG